AAAGAAAATAACAAAACACTAGGATAGGATCTTTTCCTATAATATTTTCTTTATGAATACTTTTATCTAAATATAATAGTTCTAGTTATTTAAAATAAAAATATTTGTAATTAGAATTAAGGATCAAACAAATAAGGAATTATTTTATTAAATAATTTTGTTGGCTTCCTTTAATTAAAGAAAATACCAAAACACTAGGATGGGAGCTTTTCCTATGATATTTTCTTTTATAAATACTTTTATCTAAATATAATAATTCTAGGTATTTAAAATAAAAATATTTATAAGTATGATTAAGAAACAAACAAAACGGGGAATATTTGAATAATTATCTTGTCTTTTTTTGTCAGGTTGTACTAGAAACACACCAAGAAGTGCGAGAGCTAGTAGAAATGACGCAGCATTGGAATTTGAATGTCCTGAAGAATTTGGTTATTATCCTCATCCACGAGATTGTACGCAATATTATGTTTGCGTTTTTGGTGGAGCTTTGCTAGAATCTTGCACTGGCGGTTTGATGTACAGGTTTGTATAATAATTATTAATCAAATATTATTATTAACGTAATTGATTGATTGATTGATTGATTAATTGATGTTTCCTAAAATTTTAAGATCAGATCAAATAAAATTACGTAGACTGGATAAAGAATAAAAGTTGTTTGTTTGGTAAGGTGTGAAAAGGTGACCGATTCGGTGAAAGGGAAACTCACTGGTATCTTCGTTCTCATTGCTGCTTGCATGTTTATAATGTCGCATACCTATTCCATAAGTAATATAATCTTAGAAGGCCAACGTCCGTTTGAATCATTCTATGATGGCAGATGAACTCTTGTGAGAGAAACGATTATTTCTTGTGAATTTCACGCGAATAAACTAACGGTTAATGTATCTGTAAATTAAACTGATATTAAATGCGAATAATGAACATAGTGTTTTTAACTATGAAAACAAAATGATTAATAAAAAACGTAATGTAGTTCTATAGAATCTATAGAATCTATAGAATCACCCCCTTTTCGCTTGTATCACCAGTTACCGATCACCCTATATATTTAAAATATATAGTTTATATATATATATATTATACATTATAATTTTAATATAAATTTATAATTAATTTAAAATTAAATTTATAAATTTAAATAAATATAAATTATTAAATTTATATTATAATTTAATATAATATTATAATTTAATATATATTATATTATAATATTAAATTATATTATATATAATATTTATAAAAATTAATATTATTAATTTATTATAAAATTTTATTTATATTAATATAAATTATTAAATTTATATTATAATTTAATATATAATATTGTAATGTTATAATTTTAATATAATATTATAATATAATATATATAATATATAAATTATATTTTAAATATAAACTATATATATTAAATATACAGGGTGATCGGTAACTGGTGGTACAAGTAAAAAGGGGGTGATTCTACATGAAAAAATAAATCGAAAATATAGTATTTCCGAAAAGTTCGTAGGGTATTTGCAAAATGTATATGCAAAAGTATTAATATTATATTCGAAAGATTAATTTCGAGAATTAATAATCAGGATAAATATAACTACAGTTCATGAAGTTGTATCAAGCTGTGCAATTACAGCGTGTTTCGAGCTTTCTTATTCGAATTGCATATAAACTTAAGTTTATAATGAATTTCGCGTTCCAACGTGTCTTGCACGTATTAGACCACTTTTGTCGATTGACCATTCCTGTGAATAGTAACTTGTTCCTTAGACGCGCTCTAGATTGGAACTTTAACGAGATACCGCTAAGATCTCCGTCATGCCAGCTTGCAAGGAAACCAGGAAACTAACTAGTCTTTAGATTCAATCATTTGCACCTAAAATTGTACATTTTAACATCTACTCGTTTATCTTATCTTTCCGACAATTATTCTATTTTCTTTTTTCCTTTCTTCTCTTTTCTTTTCTTTTCTTTTCATTTTGTTAATCATACCGATAATTATGTAAGTGAATTAATTTCAATTGCGAAATTAATTTGCAACAAAAAAGATAATTTAATATATTTAATTTTAGTATTTTGATCTTGTTTCGTCCTTTTATTAGGAACTTTTTCAATAACTGTAAAATACACAAATTACATAACTTTAAAAATACACATAATGTTCTTCGAAACTTACACTAATAACCTAACAGTATATGTTCGGAAAGTAATTTCATTTTTTTCCTGAAACAATAATTGTAAATAACATTTCTTAGTTTCAAGGATAATTGTAAGATAAATCCTATATATAGTACATTTAAAAAAATATCTGAGTCTAAGTAAAAGTTTGTTTTAAAAAAGAAAACTCGTCCATATATGTGTCCATATAGGTACGTAAAAAAATTCGTACACAAAGTTTTCAGAATTGATTGTAGCAGAGGTGTGATATTTTTTACCTTTTCAAGATTAACAAGGAATTACAATGCCATTCCCGAGTCCTTGACATTTAACATCCGTCTCGCAAAGTTTATATTACTACGAATCGAATCGATTGAAATGAACAATATTTTTTGCGTTAATTTAATACTACAACCAATACCATCGGACATTTTATTATTATTATCTCAATTTCCATTTGAATGTAATATAAGGGATGTTTCGTTTTGTAAACTGTATAAAAATAGAAGTAGAGAGAAATATTTATTGGAGGTTGAAAATATATTTATAAGAAGTTGATTTTTCGATCTAAAGTATATGGGCGATCGACGCATGTAAAGCCGACCCTGGAGGACTTTCAATCCGGTCGTCTGGTTTTGCACGGTAAAAGGGGGTCGTACGTATAAGTGTAACCCTGGAAAAAAATCGATCTGCCACACCTCGTTTGATACGGAACGCGTTGTATTCGAACCGGTGCGGCTCCCTTCGAATGTATATATGTGTGAGTGATCACAAACATGTATGTTTCTCTCTCTTTCTCTCTCTCTCTCTACAATATCAATGTATGCATGACATGTAAGATGTCCGTATGACTATGTATTAACAGAAAGGTTCTTAACAGTAAGACGATATTGGATTAGATATAAACTCGAGATTACTATGCTTATTAGGTACTCTAAGTTTATTATTTCAAAGTAAAATTCTTTTTTTTTTTTATATTTCATATATTATGTTTACAGCCATGAATTGCAAACGTGCGATTGGCCACGTAACGTTGGCTGTCCAGAAGGTGGTTTGGTCAACAAGGAGATCGATGAGGATCCGCTGTTAGAAAGGTATGATCTTCGAAAAGGGACAACTTTTCAATTTTTTAAACATATATACATGTATATATATATATATTATGAAAAAAATCAGACAAAATAAAAAAAGAATTTCATGAAGGAAATGAAAAAGGTTGAGTAGTAGTTTTGGAGTTCATAGTAAACCAACAATTTGACACTGAATTTTTATATACAAAAACATATATACATATATATATATATTATATAACGTAACGATTCAATAAAAAATTCTTTTGCAACACTTTCTCCCAAACCATTTTACTTTTTAATTAAAATTGATTGCATCGAAAAGTTTATTAGCAAAAGTAATCGTGCACGCAATAAGTAATTGGGACATTGTCTAGTGACGTCATCATCGTGTAGCATCATTTATTTGTGTGATAGAACACACACTTATACACTTGACTGTTTACTCGAAAGTTTTCCCACCGTTTTATTATTAGATCGGCCATCGGTCATGATAAATAGAATCGCGCATTTTACGCTTAATTACTTGTCGGTAATTACCGATAACGTTCCGATCACCGGATAATCGAAATAACCTGACGTATATTCCCACGCGTATCTCCTATGTAACGTGGAAAAATATTGGTTTTTTTTTCTTTTTTTTTTATTTTTTCCTATCGTATAAAACAAAACATTCTTCTTCTTCTTCTTCTTCTTTTTTTTTTTTTCTTCATCGATTTTAACTTTCCCCTGAACGGATGTCCGTCCGTCGATCTGATTTCTTTTTTTCGATAACATTGCGAAATGATTTTATTTGTATTTCACCCACGTTTAAAAGTAAAAGAAAACAAAAGAAAAAGGTATACACGAAATGTAGAAGGAAGGAAGGAAGGAAAGAACGAAAGAAGAAGAAGAAGAAGAAGAATGTGAAATAGTTCGATTAGATAGAAATAAAATGGGGGAGGAAAAGGTGGAAGAATTGTCGAATAGGAGGGGAGAAATCGGAGAAAGGAAAATAACTTTGAGATAGAATAAACGATTCGCTAGCTAGCTAGCTCAATTCCTGTCTGTCCTGATCAAATATTTCCAATCTCGCTTATCCTATTCGTATTGCCCTAACTCACGTGCCTAAATGATTGAAATTACGATACGTGGGTCGAACAAGGCTTTCAACTTGTCTACAAGCAAATACTAGATTTAACCAAGGCTACCTTCGTGTTTTCATTTTTTTTTGTTTTTGTTTTTTTTTCAACTAACTGACATTCCATTCGAGTTACGAATAAATATTTCGAATTATCGAATGATATTTTATTTTTGTTGTCTCTCTCTTGGAAAAAATCGTTAGGATGAAATCGAACAATTTTTGGCACTATTCTTTATATAAAAAGATAATAGTTTTAAATCTCTCTGTTAATTTCCGGTTACTCTTTTTCTATAGCAAACTACTACTACTACTACTAATACTACTACTAGCTTCTTATGTTGTCTAACTAACCCAAGATTCGTTTTTCTTACTATCTCGCTTAAGCGTACTGGCCGTAGTCGGCATAACCCAAGTGTCCCGTTGTGCAACGAGTTAAGCAACAAGAAGTCGGTGGGCATTCATTAAAGTATTGTATAGGAGTTAAACGTGGGGATCGATTTCTCCATTTCTAACAACAACTCACCCTACATCTACGTTTTACTTTATTCCTAGTTTTAAAGATACCTACTCGTGAGAAATTGTGAATTTTGTTTAAATTATTCATCATCATCATACAGGTCTACGAAAATTGAGACGTTGCAACAACAACAGCAGCAACAACAACAACAACAACAAGCCCAACAACAGCAACATCATCAACAACAACAGCATCAACAACAACAGCATCAATCTGTGCCAAGACCGAGTCAAAGACAACCGATTTTGATTACTTCAACAGCTTCCCCAGCACCTCAGACAACCGAACGACAATACCGTCAACGACAACAAGCTAGAAATTATCCCGAGGACGATTACGAACCACCTAGTGAGATTGAAAGTGACAGACAACAACGTGTCTACAGAGGACAACCTTCGACAATAGGACAAGTGCAACGTGACCGTGATGGACTTCGTAGAAACATCATATCTGTGAGTATTAACTTTTCCGGAAATGATAGTAAAGGATAGAAAGAGAAACGAAAAGGTTCGACGAAGTCATTTTTTTCTTTCTTTCTTTATCGTTAATCACAGGAAAGAGAAAAGGATAGTCTGGTGAATGCACGCGTTCAAGCGGAATCTCATTACAGGTATCGTCAAAATGATCATTTTGTTAATGATTAAATTAATCTATGTATGACCCTGATTAATTTCCCTTTGACATATTTCTTATATAAATAAAATAATAATAAATTTATAGACAACTTTGATATAATTTTTTCGATTCATATTACGTAGGACACAAGTACCTTCAACGGAATCTTCTAGAATTGCTAAAACTTTGGCATCAACAGCATCACCGATCATATCGAAATCATATTACAATGATCCTGATCAAAGTTATCCTTATTACACGATTTATGAAGATGACGTTTCGATGTACAAAGATGATGGTAAGTATATCATTTGACACTTGACGGATTTTATTTTATAAAAGTAATCGATAGGATAATATTGCTGACAATGAGTAATACAAAATTGAAAAATGTTTTCTATTCATGTTTGTTAATGATCACATCTTGTCGTTAATGTTCCTCACTGACTTCACTTCCTTGACATTATCAAACTAAAGAATTTCTTTTCGCAATGATCATGATTTTTCTCATTTAGATTACAATCAATACACGGTGAATCAAACGGTTCCTTTGCAACAACCTAATGTGAAAATTAGCGAAGTTAGCACGAAGCAATATCAACAAAAATCAAAAAAAGTTAGTGTCAATGATGCTGATAGATATAATTTGAATCATGACGTTACTGCACAAGATTATGATATTTATGAGAATCAGGTAAGACAATTTTTACTTCATTATTTTCATATTACTATTATTCGTTTTCTTTTTTCTTTTAGGCTCAATTAAACAAAAATAGATTTAGAATTTCCGAAGGACAATCACCTTTAAGGTAAAACATTAGAAATTATTGTTCTCTTTGTTTAAAAGAAATATTAAATGTGTCATATGTAATCAGCATTAATAATAGTCGAGTTGTTTCACTTGTTTAATTACGTATTTGTCTATTTCTTATACCTGATTATACAGAACGAACGTTGTGAGCCATCCTGTGGTTCACGTGACGACTCCAAATGCCATCGTTGACACATTTGTTCCATTGACGACTACAACTCAAGCACCTACGACAAGTGCTAGGCCTTATACCGTTAGTGTTTCAAGGTATGTGTTACAACGTAAATATATTATACGTAAAAATGTTTTGAAATTTATACAATGCTGCAACTTTCAAAATAATACAGTAGAAATATTTCAATGCCTTTGGATAAAATATTAAAATTACGATAAAAATTACAATGAAATTAAACATCAAAAAATATTGTTTATTATGGACAATAATATTCAAATTATTTAATATTAAAATTTACTTATTTTCAATCAAATTTTCAACTACAGATGAAAGTTTTAACTGAAGATGAAAGTATGAACCTTGCCATAGAATTTTTAAAATAACGTAACCTCATTGATAAATTTTTCTTTTTTAATAATAAAATATATTATTATAGCCAAAATATGACGTTGTTGCATAAATAAAGATTAAGTTATGTTCAAATCACCGAAATCTATGGCCGACAAATGGCGCTGGACTTAACTGTAACTTTTTCTATTTTTTTTTTAAATTAATTAATTATTTTATAAATAAATTAATACAATAAAAACCTAGCTGCATGTGAATGCAACATTGTGTCCAAATTTCAAGAAAATCGGTAAAGTACTTTATATATATATATATATATATATATATAAGTCTCGTGTGATAGATGAAGAATTAAATAGAAATAGTTTCTTCGCGTTTCTCTATAATATCTGATGGATCACATGTGGATCTATGAAATCTAGATCGACGAAAATGATTGGGGAAACGTTTTAAAGGGCCGTTGGCTGACTTGAGACCCGATTTCGCTCAGGCGCATAATGGCCTCTGTAAAAATGATTCCTCGCTTTTACTCACTTTCTCCATGAGGAACAACGAACATATGTACTTTTACATACGTCTTATGGATTTGATATTAACTAAATCATATTTTCTTTGATTATATTTCAGTCGTGGTCGTCCACAACAAATCAATCGAGGAACTGCACCACCGTAAGTCAATTTAATGTTTCCTAATTAATTATTCTATCGTTTCATCGTCATATTAATTATTTCGAAATAGTGAAGTCGTCGAATGATTGTATCGAAAGAGTGAAAAAAAAAAAAAAAGAAGAAATAATTATTCTTTTCATACGAGCAGTGAAATTGAATTACGAAAGAACACACTCGTTAGCAACGAGTAACTTCTCTTTTCTTTCTTCTCGTCGATAATGAAAGTAACGTCGCGAGATCCTTCCTTCGGGTATCAACGGAAATGCATACCGTGAAAATAACGATGTAGAAATTATGATAAAGATAAGAAGCTTTTTCCAAGTGAAAACATATTGCAAGAATATTATTATTAAATATCATCGTATATTTCGAGTATTTAACCCTTTAATCTATTATCATTAGTGAAATTACATTTAAAAAAAAAACATAGAAATGAGTTATTTTGAGTTAAAACAACTAGTGTTAATTAATTTATTTGTCCTAACTATTGCAATTTTGTTACACTTTATAATTTTCATGTAACAATAGATTATAGTAATAAGAAAAACTTTTAATTGCATTTCTTTTTTTCTTATCATTTTTATAAAATAATCATAAAATAATATAATTGCAACGATACAATCTTACGTTAACGTAATATATATATATATGACGTATTTATAATTTAATTAAATATTACGTTGACGTATATATATATATAATATAATTTTGTTATGATATTCTTTTATACAAATTTTAATTATAGTAATTACAAGAAAAAAAAGTTAATTTGCAAAAAAAAAAAAAAAGAAAAATTAATAATAAAAATTGTTTTCTAGTCGTTCACGGCCAACATTGAAACCATCGACGGAGATAGTTTCGAAGGCCCAAGAATTCATCGATATCTACAGATTCCCACCGGTTAGACCAGCTCCGATTTATCCGACACCTCAGGTCGACAAGCCGGCTGCAAAATGCCGAAGGGACGTTTGTCTACTTCCGGATTGCAGTTGCGGAGGCGCTGACATTCCAGGTATGCGACCACTTTCGTCCTTAGCTTTGATGATTCTACAGGTAGTATGTAAAATAACAATAGTCGTATCTTCAAATGGAATTTATTTCTATTCGTTCTTTGACCTTTCTCTGTTAGGAGGAAGTGAGTGGGGGGGGGGATCGTAAAAGTACCTTGACGAAAACATTTATTTTATTCGAAAATAACACCTTTATTATTCCTCTTTTTATTATCACGAATTTTTCCTAAGCAAGGTCTCGTATTCAGGTATCTTTTAATCCTTTGTCATACAAATAAAAAAGAATTCGATGTGACACAAAAATACCATTTTAATTTGACTCAACTAAAGTTATACATGTAAATCTGGAAATAGAATATGAAATAGTTTACATTGTTAAATATTTTTTAAATATAGAACATTGGACGATGAATAATTTTATGGTTAACACTTATAAATAATAAATTGAATAGTTCTGTACAGTATATGAAAAATGGTATTTTTTAGACATCATTGCATATGCAAAGGGATTAAAAATAGATATAACGGGGGGAAGAATTTATGTAGAATAATAGATCGAAGAATAAATTTTCGAGGGCTAGATCGTGTTTAGCTTTCAGAAACGTCGACCAAACCAAGTGACGTAAGTCGTCGCGCTACGAATGTTAAGTTTGACGATCGGTTTAGCGGTCGCCATAACTTTCTCCGATTCTAACGTTACATATACAAGTTATATGGTGCGTTCGTTCGAAAGTGAAACAGATCCGAGTCGTACGAGTACATATATATATATAAACATACATATATATAAATATATAAATATATATATATATATATATGCACCTGCAAATGTATTGCACACGAGCGATGCCCTTCGAAATCGAAAGCTTTCCGCGAGAGTGAATGATATTGTTTTTATTTCAATCTAACTAAGTTGAAAGCGAAGTGGTAACGATCTCTAAGGATCTTTTAGCTCGAATGACTTGTGTAGAGCGCGCCTATAAATTTGATATGTATTATTTACTTTTTCATTTATATTTTAATAATAGAACGCGTTCAAACAAAAATATATTATTGATTATTCGTTAATTTTTCAATTAATTTCAAGAGAAATTATATATGCTATATAATTCGTGCATAATAATTATTCTAATATAAGTAGAATGCATTAAAATATTCAAATAATTGTTAATTAATCATTGCAAGTGTCTATTGTGGTCTAAAAGCTCGGATTATATGATCGGAGTACCGTCCTCTTCGAGATTCACCTTCAGACTGACGAGTGGTCATCCATGTAACTGCATTTATTCAATGTTGTTTATATGATTTTCCGAATGTTACACATGCGTGCTACGTGAATAATCGAACTAATTTAAAAGAATTTAAGATTAAAACGTTCTAATTTTAATATTTTTTTCATTCTAATGTAATTTTTTTATTGCTCCTGCGCAGTGATGACTTCGAGTGTTAAATTTGCCTATAATGTAAATAGAGTGCATTAGAGTATTAAAATAATTGTTAATTATTCGAAAAGAATGTGTATTGTTGGTTAAAAACACCGAGTATATAATCGGTGTACCGTCCTCTTCGAGATTCACCTTCAGCCTGATACGTTATCCTCTATCAAAATTCTTATATTGAATGTTGTTTATACGACATTTCGAAAGTCGCGCATGTGTATAACGTGAATAATATTCTTAATAAATCGAAATTAAGATTATAACGTTCTGATTGTAGTATTTTTTGCATTCTAATGTAATTATTTTATTGCTCACGTGCAGTGATGACTACGAGGGTTATATTGTCCTGTAATGTAAGTAGATTGTATTAGAATATTTAAAAAACTGTTAATTAATTAATGGGAGTGTCTATTGTTGCTTAAAAGCTTGGAATTATTGATCGGAGTACCGTCCTCTTCGAGATTCACCTTCAGCCTAGCACGTAGTTCTCTGTGTTTTTCTATTCTCCTACATTAGAATGCAAAAAATATTAAAATCAGAACGTTATAATGTTAAATACTTTTTATTACAATTATTATTACCGTTGTACACATACGCAGTATTCTGAAAGTCATATAAACAACAGATAATAGAAGTATTTTGACAGAAGACAACGTGCTAGTCTGAAGGTGAATCTCGAAGATGACGGTGTTCCGAACATATACTCCGATCTTTTAGATAATTCTTTCGATTAATTAACAATTATTTTAATACTCTAATGTGTCTTTTACTTATATTAGAATAAATTTTATGCACGAATTATATATTATATATTGGATTACATAGACTGATCGATTTTAAAAACAAACAACTAAAACTATCGATATAAAACACGTGTTTTATATAAAGAATTACGGAATAAGAGAAATATATCGAATATATCGAATAAATATTTACTAGTTTCATCCTGTTAAATTGTTCTATCGTGTCGCGCATCGTCAAAATGCAATCCCATGATGTTTTTTTCCCTAACGCGGAAAAAGAAGTATAATTTGAAAAAAATGAACGTAAGAAATTGCTTGAATGAAGTTAGAGAATCGTATCGGGTCTTAAAATACACATATAGGATGCATCAATCGTCTATTCAGGAGGAATTGCTGCTGAGGAGACACCACAGATCGTCCTTCTAACGTTCGACGATGCCGTTAATGATCTTAACAAACCGTTGTACAGTGATTTGTTCGAAAATGGCCGTAAGAACCCAAACAACTGCCCGATCACTGCTACATTCTATGTTTCTCACGAGTGGACAGATTATAGCCAGGTGCAGAATCTTTACTCGGACGGTCATGAAATGGCATCTCATACGGTCTCGTAAGTCTCTCGTTTAATAGAAAGAGAAGATGGAATTTCCGTTGTTGCCCTTTCTACCGACATCTTTGTGTGTGTGTGTGTGTGCGTGCTTATAACAAGAAAGGCTAGAAAGAATCACGTAACTGTGTCATATGGCGCGTGGCTATCGTCATTCGAGCTTGACGCTACTACGCTACTCATCATTCTCTCTCTCTCTCTCTTTCTTTGTGTTGTTTATACAGGTATATACATATATATATATGTTCGTATGTTCGCGTCTATATGTCTCGCTTTTAATAACTTTTCATACATGGCAAATTTATTCTCAAAAATCGAACGAAAAATAAGAATTCATTTTTCAAGATCTTACCGATCAGTAAAAGCATCGTTCAAATGAGTCATCAAAAACAAAGTTCATGAATAATTATTTATTCTCTTCGTTAAGAAGAAACATTATTTTAAATACGACGTAGAATCTTTTACCTGGTGGCCGACTTAGAAAGATCTCTCTCTCTCTCTCTCTCTCTCTCTCTCTCTTTCTTCGAATATAGTGAGTCAAGGCTATTGATAAACAAAGAAGCACGTGAAAGTAAATTGAATTAGTAAAAAAAAAATTCATAAATGACGATGTTGTTAGATCGGTAGGATTTTAATTCTTTAAATGGTATATTAGATAAACAAAAATATAAAAGAAAGATCGTATGCGTTAGGTGAAACGATCAGTTATCTTTCCTTCCTCTTTTTCTTTTTTTTCCCCAGCTTCTTCCTCTATTCACGTCTTTTTAAAATGAGAGGAAGAAGGTGAGTATACGCCTTAAACACGACACCGATACTCGTACCGCGTGTAAAGAGTTTCACCTAGCGCGTACGATACTTCTGCGGTATACTAATGACGCCTACTGACTATAATTCTTTTCTCTTTCCCCTTTTCTCGCACTCTCTCTCTCTCTCTCTCTCTTTCTTTTTCTATCTTTTTTCATCGTCACGCATCATCGTCCCACGTTTTCATTGAAAACAATTTCATCAAACGCGACGATTTCTTTGAACCTTTACCCCCGCCCTTGTGTTCCTGCAATCCTAAAAAACAACAAACAAAAAACCAAAAAACAGGTGATTACCTTCCGGAGGAGATCCCACAATTGGTCCTGTTGACGTTCGATGACTCCGTGAACGATCTGAACAAAGGACTCTACGCAGATCTCTTCGAGAAGGGACGAAAAAATCCAAATGACTGTCCTATCTCAGCAACTTTCTACGTGTCCCATGAATGGACCGACTACAGCCAGGTCCAAAATCTCTATGCCTCCGGTCATGAAATTGCCTCTCACACAGTATCGTAAGTATCCTCTTTGTAGGATTGACAACCCAACGAATATTATACGAAAGTATTTCAATACTTTCCTTCAAAATATTTTATTAATTATAATAAATATATTATACAACAATTATCGAAATATTGGGTTGGCAACTAAATCATTGCTAATTTTTGAAAACCACCTATCAACAAAATCCAAAATCATGTACTTGCCAACCTAATATTATTAACATTGGATGGGGTGATATGATTCTTTTTAGTATAAATTAATTAACTATTATATACTATAACTACTAATATTAAAATTAATTAAAAAAATAATTCAAGGTATGTTAATAATATGTCGATAAATGTTGTATAATATATTTATTATAATTAAATAAATGTTCAAATACTTTTGTGAGTTACTATACATTACATATACATGCATATATACATTTTGTCGTATTAAATATTTCGTGTCCAACATGACAGGTTGATTTCTCTGATCTCGGATTCATCAACGTCACACTTTTCTTTTCTTTTCACGTTAATGTGCTTATAAATTTGATTAATGCTTACACAACGATCATTCGAATCATTGGCACGCTATAACAGATCGCCAATGGGTAATAGGTATCGATTAACGATCATTTTCGATCGCTTCTTTCAATCATTTAATTACAAACTAATGCTAGCTTATAATTCGTGTTATCGTTCGTCAAAGGCAACCCGGATTATTCTTATCGTACGGATAATAAATTGAATGAACAATTTGTATTAAAATAAAAAAAATAAAAAATGTATACAAATTTAATTCAGAAAATTTTTAATGATTCGAGATAAAGGTAATAAACATTAATCACATAGGCACAGTTTTGGAGAACAATTTTCACAACGTAAATGGGCAAGAGAAGTAGCTGGACAACGTGAAATTCTTTCGGCATATGGTGGTGTCAAATTGGAAGATGTCAGAGGAATGAGAGCTCCATTTTTATCGGTAAGATTTTGACAATGAACAAATTCCTAACACTACTTTTGTCTATACTCTATTAACCTAAATTACACGTTTAATCTTTGATCTTTTTATTCTGGGGGTTTTCTTTTTTTTTTCCTTTTTGTAGGTCGGTGGTAACAACATGTTTAAGATGTTGTGGGATACAAACTTCACTTATGACTCTTCTATGCCAATTTATGAGAACAGACCACCCAGTTGGCCTTACACGTTAGATTATAAACTGTTTCATGATTGTATGATACCACCGTGTCCTACCAGATCTTATCCTGGATTGTGGGAAGTTCCTATGGTAATGTGGCAAGATCTGAACGGTGGTAGGTGTTCTATGGGAGACGCTTGTAGTAATCCACCAACTGCCGATGGTGTCTACAAGATGCTTATCAAAAACTTCGAAAGACATTACACGACTAACAGGTACACCAATATATTTAATATCACTTTTTAAACTTTCCATTAGTGATTGATATTTCCGATTTATGCATTCGTTTGATGTGTCGATAATTGTAATAGTAAAAAAGGAATTGAATAAAAATTCATTTTCATTATTTTTATATATATATATATATATATATATATATATATATATAATAATTAAATATTAGAAAATATTTAAATATAATACATAATAAAATATTATATTAAATATTAATTAATATTTACATATTAATTATATTTATAATAAATATTACAAATATTTAGTAATATATTAATATATTATATAAATATTTTTAAAATTTAATAAAAATATATAAATATATATATAATAAATTAATTAAATTAAACTATATTACACATTTATTATATATAAATAAAAAATTTAATTTAATGTGTGCATTAATCCAATAAAATAATTAACAGCACATGTAAAATAATGAAATTTTTCATATATTTTTATATTATAGAGCACCATTCGGTCTATTCTACCATGCTGCATGGTTTACTCAACCCCATCATAAAGAAGGTTTCATCTCTTTCCTTGACACAATAGTTGCCATGGATGATGTTTGGGTTGTAACGAATTGGCAAGCTATTCAATGGATCAGAAATCCAACGCCTCTTGCACTTTTGCATAATTTTGAACCTTTCAGTTGCAATTTTGGAGTAAGTCAATTTACAAAAATTCCTTTTTACTTTATTTATATATAATTTAATAACACAATATAATTATTTTTGTTTCTTTAGGATCGACCAAAGAAATGTAACAATCCGAAGGTTTGCAATCTTTGGCACAAAAGTGGCGTTAGATACATGAAAACCTGTCAAGCTTGTCCAGATATTTATCCATGGACGGGTAAAACTGGTATTAGGAGCAGTCGTATCGATAACGAAATCGATACACACGAATGAAATGGCAAAATCAATCAACGTGGCAATCGAGACCCACCAATAAGGATGAAAGAGCCAAAATGAGAAAAATCATATACACACAACACACATACACATACACAGATCCATACACATAAATCATCTCAGTGTTGTTCTTTTATTTCTCGTTCCTTTGAACAAATCGTTCGAGTACGCCAAGTTGATTTAATCCTCTTTTAATTATTTTTCCTACTTTTACACTACTTATTTTTGTTTTCTTTTAATTTTCCTAATTTTTTTTTAATCAATGAGAAAACAATTTGATCAAGCTAGGCTAAAATTTTGTCGATTTTGGTGGGTCTGCAAAGTTTTTAAATCAAAAGAACAAAAAAA